AAAAAAAAAAAAAAAATGAGACTAATTTTTATTTTTTTGAAAGAAAATAAAGAGACTACTGGGCTAGTAAAAATCATGTTTGGATTCAACCAGACTTCAAATAAGTTACTTAGAGCAATGACATCAATGATTTTTTAAGAGTTTTTGTGGGATCATAGTTTATGTGGAGGAAAGAAAAGAAAAGAGAGAGAAAGAGTTTCTTATGCAAATGCAAGTTTTTTGTGGGACTCACGAAGAGATACTATTGGAATGCCTAAATACATTTTTTTTTCAAACAACTTGTTTTTCCTTTCAAGTTGTTGATGATGCTCTTAATCAGTTTGACAAATTTTTATAGAAAGGGACAAACTCAAAATCGAATTTACAAACAATGAATAATTAAGAGACAGAAATTCAAGACATTGCGGTCTAGTAGTACGAATTGACTCTCCCAAATGAAAAGGGTGGTCTAGTAGTTCGAATTGACTCTCCCAAATGAAAAGTCACGCGTTTGAGTCCTAGTAGGGTTCTCTTTGTGTTTTAATAGGTTGAGAAAGCGCATATTAACATATACTACATTGTAATCAATAGTACTCCAAAAAAAAAAAATAATAATAATAATAATAATAAAGAAGAAGATAGATGGGTTAAGTCTCCTCTTCTTAGAATTGGTTGGCCCATTTACTACCATAGTTTGGTCTGAATCATTATTCTATGTATCGTAGTTTACACAGTTGTGTGGACCACAAATACATTGTTTTTTATATTAGTAAATAATGTATTTTTAATATATTAAAAATATATTTTTTAATTCATAAAAAAATACATTATTTTATATATTATCAAATAGTGTACGTACATAAATAATGCACTTTTAATATATTAAAAATGGTACTCTTTCACTTTTTACTTCTTAACGTGACAGAGAATAATATACTATTTTCATCATGTGGATCTCAAGAAAAGTCTACGTCAAAAATTTGAGAATGAAGTAAAACTTGGGAGTCCATATAATAATTTTTCTTTTTTTGTCCACAACCCTACCCATTCGACATTGATTTCTTTTTTTAATGAAGACAAGTAGTTTTAATTTATAAAATAATCTATTTATTATTATTTTAAATATTCAATGAAAAATAATAATTATTTTTTTAAGAGTTCTAATTTTGTATTTTTTTAAAATTTTATAATTTTATTTATATAGTTAATAGTTAATTAATTATATTAAAAATAGGGAAAATGACACTTTTTCTCCCTGAGTTATATACCTATAGCATTTTTTCCCCCTAAATTATTGAAGTGGCTGTTTTTCCCCCTGAAATGTTAAATGGACATATTTACCCTTAAACTAAATATTTAATTTATTTTTTTCTCCAACAAATTATGACCATAATTTGGTTCAAACTAAACAAACATTATAGCAACCAAACCGAAATATTCCAATTACAATTTAGAATCGAAATTCGATATTTAGAGTTTATTAAAATCGTGAACCGGAACGGACGGTTCATGTTCCGAACTGAAAAAATAAAATACATTTATTGTTGAATTTAGACTATTTTAAAATAAAAAATAAAATTTTAAAATAAAGACGGTTCAAAACCGCGAATTAGATCCGGAACTGCCGGTTCACGGTTCAAGATTCAATTTTTTTGATACATAATTTTAATAAATTGACATTTAAATATTGGGTTCTAGATCTGAATTATAACCGTAAACTATTAATTCGACTGCTTTAGTATCCGGTTCAATTCAAATCGAACCGTGGTCATCCCTACGTATACGCAATAATTTGTTGGAGTAGTAAAATAAATAAAATGTTTACTTTAAAGGTATAAATGTCAATTTAATATATTAGGGGGGGGGGGGGAAACACCACTTTTAGAATAATTGAGGGGACTAATGTGCTTACCTAAATAATTGAAGAGGAAAAAGTGCTATAAGTATATGACTCAGGGGTAAAAAGTGCCATTTTCCCTTAAAAATATATGTCAATTATTTAATTTTAAAATTGTATATAGAAATTATAATAATAAAAATTGAAAAAAAAAAAAAAAACTAAATACAAAATAAAAAATTGCTTAAGCAATTATACATACCACATCTGGTCCTTAGACTATCAAAATTTTTTAATTAAGTGCATAACTATATAATTTATTTCATATTTGATCATGTTGTCTAATTTTTAGAAGTGTTCATTCTGTAAGAACCAAATGCAGTGCTTTCTTTTCGGTAATTGTTAGCTGAGAAATTTAAAAACAAGATCAGATGTGATACAAATTATATAGTCATGTAGTTAATTAAAAAAATGTGATATACATGTATAATAGTCTATTGGAACAATAATGGAAATTTCTCTTGTAACAATAGATAAATGAGGCAATGAGGAGGCAGCAGCCTATTTGGGAGTTCCAGCGGTGCAATGGAGAGCGCAAGCTTTCCCGCCGTTTAGAAGACAGGAGGATTGGTCCGACAAGTTTTCACAAAGTGGCCTCATTTTCTCAAACGCGCATTTCTGCCAGCATTTGTTTATGGGATGGGTGTGAGACGAGATCGCCGGAATTTCTTTATCCACCATCAAGCTCGCCGCCACCTGCTTCAGCTGGTTATCGCTCATATTCTCCATTTCCTCCGCCGCCCACTTCGGACGGAAACTCTTCGTCTTCTCCGCCTTGTCTTGCTCCGGCGACGACGCCGTCAACGACGACGGCGCCGGACACGACTGCATCATGTGCTTCTCCTCCTCCGCTGACGGCGGCGATTTGATTTCCTCCGTCGACGACTTGATTTGCTCCGTCGACGTCGACAGCTTCACGTTGTTCTCCGCCGCCATCTTGTTTTGCTCCGCCCACTTTTCGAACTTCGACGACGACGATAACGGCGGCAAATTGATTTGCTCCGTCGACATCGACAGCTTCTCCGTCATCTTCTTTTGCTCCGCCCATATGTCGAACTTCGACGACGACCCCTCCATCGCCGGTGCGCACGCTATTAGGGTTGCGACGATCGTGACTAGCTGCAGCGACATTATTGCGGTGAAGTTATACTTAGCCATTATAATTACATACAGGTATGGATGATGAGAGAAAAGTATATATATATTTATATATATATATATATATATATATATATAACAAACGAGCCCTCCTGGATTGTGAAATATATAGTAGCAAAATATGGTCCCCTCACATACTCTCTTGCATCATTTTAGGGATAATTGGAGATAGTCTTGGACATTATATGGATGAGCAAATTTTATGTTTTATTACATGTATATATAGTTTAGATGATAAAGAATAGGTCATCATTATAATTTGGCCTTCACATAATACTCCTTACAAAAAAAGGCTAACAATTTAATTTGTATTGTTTGTGGCAAGAGATGTGGAGCAGCAAAATCCCGCTTAGGTACCGATTAATCGGGGCCTAGGCGCTAGGCATTGGTCGGTTGCCTAAGGTATCACCATAATCGGTGGTCTAGGCGGCTGACTAGGCCGCCTAAGTGCCGTCTAGGCCGATTAGGCGACCGACTAGGCCGCCTAAATGTCGTCTAGGCCTCCTAAGCACCGACCAATTAACTATTGTTCCATTCTTTTTTAAGTGAGTTATTTCACTCAAAACAACATCGTTTTGAGCGAAATAATCCTAAATTGTTCAAACTCTAGATTTTTTTAGTTTAATATTTAATATTTTAGTATTAACTATTAAAATATTAAACAATTTATAATTATCAAGTCTTAAAAAGTTAAACAAAATTTTTAAAATAAAAAATACACGGATGACTAGGCGCCGATTAGGCGATTAATCTCCGCCTAGGCGCTCCCCAAGCGCCCAATGTGTGCCTAGCGATTTTTTCAACCATAACATGGAGGCTATTTATATTTTACCCTTCAAAAAAATTTAATTTGTATTGGTATGGTTTGGCTACTATTAATGGCGGCACAACGTAACTATGTGGACCATGGTTCAAAACGACAGTCGTTGAATTTTATGTGTTAGAATAATGTACTTTATGTGTTGATGTGTTAGAATAATTAAACTTATGGGGTAAGATAATGTGCTTTATGAGTTATAAAAATGTAAGTTGCAGGGGATCGGCGCGAAACGACGTCACCTTTTTGAACTATGATCACGCAATAACTATTGTATTAATGGCTACTTGTATTAGTATGGTTTGATTACGGTTGGAAATTGTTCATTCAAGTGTTGTTTGATTACAATACTCTTGCATCATATTAGGGGTAGTTGGAAATAGTCTTGGCATTATATGGATGAGTACATTTTTTGTATGGTTTGGCTACCGTTGACAATTGTTCATAATCATATATGTGTTGTTTAGATACAATTTCTATAGTTTGATTGTCTTTACTTTTTGTTTAGTTTACCTCTTGTGTTGTAAACATATTAAGAACTTTGGGATAGAATACTTGAGTTTTTTTTTTTGAATAAAAGTCAAACTCTATAAGTATAGTTCGAATCAAATCCAAATTAGTCTAGTAATGGTGAGGATATCATATTGCCATATGCATAGTAAAATTTAGGAGTGCGGCTCGAGACAAAAGCCTCGTAATGGTGAGGAAATAAGATGTCATATGCATAACACAAGTAGAATTCACCAATTTACGAGTAATCCGCTACCTGAAAATGCACTCTATGTGAAATCCACCTTGTGACCTTAACCACAAAGGACCACAATGAAGTAAACCAGTCCAGGTTGCTCGACACCCTCCACAAAGAATCAAACTTGAAACATTATATTATAGTTACTAAGCTAACTGTCCAAGCAACTTGACTAGAGTTACACCCTATCTACTTTATTTATTCATTTATTTTTTTGAAATAATCGACTTTATTTATTAGTTACTCCTACCTTAATTATAGTAAATAGCCTTGTTTGGTCTTCTTTCATGTTCCTCTTGCATTCTTATTCTGTTTTCATTTGGAATATGTATGTATGTATGTATGTTTCTGTAATGAATAAGCATTTATACAAATTCTACAAGGAAATGGCAAGCACAAGATCCAGTACAAAGAATTCTTCTCAATATCATTAGTTGTTCAGCCGGGAAGAACAAACCCAGAGATCATTACAATCAAATGGAACCCAATAAAAGAATGACCAAGAAGATGAAAATAATAATAGTGATGAAGGTTATTGAAAACTCAAATTTTGTAGACAAACCCTAATTTGGATGCATGAATGCAGGCCTATAGATACAGGGCACAATGTAGAATCAGTGTAATTACAGTTTGTTCCGAACAACGCCCAAAGCTCACAGAGCAGCTCTATCGTCGGGGCCTGCAAGTGTGATCTGTACATTTCTCGAGTTAGAACACATCCATTTTTGTAATGAAGAAATGAGTGAATGTGTTAATGGCTTACGTTGCAGTCGAATGAAAACCGCCTTGCCAGCATAATAGCTGCATTTCTCTCGCGCTCTGTTTCAAACGCTAAAACAAACGACAGCCCTTCTTTCGCTTGCCAAAATGCTGCCTGTGCAGCAGCGTTCCCGCCTCCTCTAACTCCACAGAGCTGGAACGATGGCACAAAAGTTTTAGAACAGCAGAGGATGCAAACGAAGATACCATCTTACGGGTTCTATTATACTGAGGCAATAGATAGAAACATTTTTCTTTCAGGTTTAAATGATTTGAGTATATGGCGTATTAAGGGCAACCCCAGCCAAGTTGGTCAAACTGTTGACTTGGTAACCACAGGGTTACAAGTTAACTCCCAGCAGGAGCAGCTTATTGGCCTTCTTGGTTTGAGCCAATCTGCGGGATTTATCCAATGCACACCCTTTGGTGGTACTATGTTTTCTCGTTTTATCTTCTCTTGTAGAGCTGTCAAAACGGGCCCAACTCGTGCAAAATGATCCGGCCCGGCCCTTTTCCAAATGAACCCGAGACGGGCAGCTTATTGGCCTTCCTGGTTTGAACCAATCTGCGAGATTTACCCAATGCACACCCTTTGGTGGAACTATGTTTTCTCGTTTTATCTTCTCTTGTAGAGATGTCAAAACGGGCCCAACCCATGCAAAACGGCCCAGCCCGGTTCCAAATGAACCTGAGGCGGGCCGGTCTGACCCGTTTTGACAGCTCTAAATTCTCTTGGGTGTCATTCACTTAATTTGTTGGAAACTCTAATGTCACATAGAAGTTGTTCGGATTTGAGGGTAGCTTCACTATCTTCTTGTTTCGCTGTTCTTATTATCCTAAAACTCGGCCAACCCCCTTAGTTCTGTCATATGGAGTACAAAACTATTCAAATAACCCAAGACACAAGACTTTTCCCATAACGAACCTCGTTAATTATATCGAGAGAAGGGATGGAGCTATGAACGATAGATACCTGCATTGAAGTGGAATAGTATTCCTTTGCCAAAGTTGTCTTCCCTTTACAAAGTTTCATTCTCATCTTTCCAACGTGCAATACGTGGATAGATTGTGACGGATGATCTGACCCATTCATCTGAACAATAACTACCTGCAGAAAAAAAAAACACGAATTATAACATTTGGATACAATTAACAATCTCGCAATGTCAACAAAAACATAGATAGAGAAATATATATTGTACATTAAATTCGGTTTCATGCCTTCGCACCAATGCTTCAACATAGTTTCCCAATCCCGCAGCTGTTACAGGAGAGCAGTGTCAGCCATGGATTCAGATTATATTTCCGAAAGCCTCGAAAAGGGGATTGCACAAGACAGTCTACCGCAAAACATTAGTAAATAACATTTTTTTAGCAGAAAACTTAGGTTGATGACATAAATGATAACCTGGTTCAATAGGGCCGGTGGTCGTTACAGTAACAGTCTCGACCCCTAACGTCATATCAGCTTGCAAAATTTGTCCAACATCAAATGGTTCCGGTGCGTAAGCAGGTTTCATAGCCCCTAGGTCGTGAACAGTTAATTACTATGGGCAAACATGCACAATCAAGAAATGGTGACAGTTCACGAATAGCATTCCATATTAAAAAAAAAAAAAAAAAAAAAAAAAAAAAAAAAAAAAGAGGATAATAGGCTCGCATACATACCTGAAATAGGTTCCCGTTTACCATTTTCACACCCTAAGCGATACCACTGAATTGAAAATACTGAAATATCCGGAACATCGGTGGAATAGGGTTGGATTTGCAAATACGAACCGAGTGCTTCAATGCCATCAATTCCATACAAGTCCTGTGCGTTTTCACCCCTCTTTCTCATTGCAAGCTGAGGGAAAAATACAACCGAAAGTTATTTTAAAGATATGAATCCTAGAAGAAACCTTTATAAATTGAACTTTAGCACATGATGAAAATCAAACAGGAATAGATGGAGCTAGAACCTCTTTCTGAAGCAGAAGCGAATGCTTGGACTTCTCTGCAAGTTGAACTCTCAATGCTTGAAGCTCGTGCTCCATATCCATAACCTGTTTCATTGAATAGAGAACGAAGAGAAACTAACACTTACCTTGATTGTAATTACATTCATCACAGGGAAAATAAAATCATCATAAGTCTGAAAATTAAATGTCAGACTAGTTCTAAGGGCAAAGTAGAGAGGTTAAAGTATTGTTCTTGTTAACCAGCTTGGTTGGCGTGAGTGGCCATGCACTCTCGTCCTTTAAGAGAGGTCGGGAGTTCAAACCCCCTCTCGTATGGAAAAACTAATCTGGCCAGCACTTTGCCCCTTAATTGGGCCGGCCCGGTGCGAATGGGGATTAGTCTGAGTATGGTACGGGCTTAAAGGTGCCTCCTACAGTTAGGGCCTACTCAGGACACCTCGTGGTCTGACCAAAAAATAGAAAAGTATTGTTCTTGTCCAGGTGTGAGTTCAATATTTGCAAAACTTGATGTTTACTCGAGTTTTTCCACCAAATTTGTGAAAGAAATTGAATTTTTCATCGGTGCAGCTTTGTATGGTGTCAAAGTCTTTTAAGATACACAAGCTAATGAGTAATGACACTTACCTTGCTAGGCTGATGCAGCATTTTGATACGCCTAGCCTCTTGGACTTCCTTCATCAATTCTTCAACATCCTTGTTTTCCAGCAGAGCACATAAACGTTATCCATTACTATTTAAACATGGGTTAAAAAATTAAACTATTTTTGCAAATACAAGAATCTCAAGTTTACGAGATTTATCTAGAAGCTTAAGAGAATATAAAAAAGCACAAGTATACACTGCCGTACAGTATGATTCTCAAAAATCAACATGGTTACAAGTTGGTCAGGTTGTTGACTTGGCAACCACAAGATTACAAGTTTAACTCTCAATGGGAGTAGCCTATATATTGGCCTTCTTGGTTTGAGTCGGTTAACTTTGGGCTACCTAAGTTGGTTAACCTCCTTGTGGTCTTTTGCCAGCTAGGGTCACAAGGCGGGGTTTACCCAGTGCACACCCTCGGGTAGTGGCTGCGGGTTTCCCTCGTCACCCAAACATGATTTGGTTAAGATTCTTAGTAAGACTGAGGTTTCAAAGAATAAACAAATCGATGTGCAGTAGGAATTCAGAAGTGGCCATGAAATTTTGAATTACTTGTTTTCCTGAGGCTCGGGACATCTCTTCATACTCCTGAAGAGCCTCCTCAACCCTTTGAACGGCTGCTCTTGCATTCTCTATTTCAGTCCTTGCAAAAGCTCTTTCTTCATCAACAAGTTTTTTAGCATCGTCAGAAGCCTGCAAAGAATTTCGGTTAAAAACTATTTATCATTTCAGTGACAGAAACTACTATCTTATTTTCCATTTCAATGGGTGATCTATTGGCGCATGTTCAAATGCGAGGTGAAAATATAAAGTCGATACATCAGAAATAAAATATAGAACAATTCACATGAAAAGTAAGTGTTTGGTCAGATCAATCCATTTTCAGGTTGAATATTTAACTAAGATCCATTCTTTACCTGCTTGATAAAAGTTGCAAGCTTTTTCACTTCTGACTTTTCTTGAACCAATTCTCCTTCTCTCTCAGTCAGCTGAACTGCTAAAGCTTCAACCTGAAAAAGAGACAAGAATTACAGTTAAAATACTCAGAAGGATTGATGGGAACCATTAAATACTTATGAGCTTCAAAGATATAAAAGCAACAAGATTTGTATATCACTAAAGATAATACAACACGGAAATAGAATACAAATGTGTTACTGAATATGTGCCTAAAAACTCTTTGAAGATAAATATGTGCAGTCATATCTTTTTGTTACCCGGAAACTTCTCTCACAATCTCCTAGGTTTCAACTTTCAAGTTCTTTCCCTCATTTAGGATATAGCTTCTTGTGATCTTCGACAAGGCAGGATAAGTTATTCTTCTAGTGTCTTCCTTTCACTTATTAGAGGACATATCGGCCTCTACCTTTATACCTCTTTCCTTGAACAGCAAAGTCTCTTTTATCAAAGAACGTTTCGAACGTGAGACACACTATCTCTCTCTTCCATGTGTGTATGTTTCTTTTTTATCGTCAAGTCAAAGGTTCTATAATCTACCGTGCAAAAACCAAAAGGTTCCTTAATATTACCAACTTAATTAGACTTATCCAAACCAAAGGACGATTTGAAAGAAACGGTTGAATGAAGAGAAAACTAGCAGATAGAGAGAACGAAACTAACCATTGAAATAGCCTCCTCAACGTCATCCTTGTTTCTACCCACCACACGCCCTCTCAGAGCTTCTAGTGCATCTCTAAGCTTCTTTAGAAGCACATGTTTCTCAAGTGAAGCTGCTTCCCTCAGCCTAGCCTGGAGCAAATAAAATATTGCTTTTAATATTATCAAGTCTTCAAATTTGATTAAAATTTATAATCTCTGGAACTGAAGTACACGAAAAGGAGAAGGGACAGAAATACCAACAAATATTTCCCAGACACCCAAAAAGGTTAAATAATATAATATAAACTGAAGAAAAGAGAAAATGTCCCAAAAAAGTTATACATGTGCAAATTTAGCGAGTCCATACCTCATCGGACAATTTGGCAGCAGCAGCCAGACCTTTCTCGAATTTACTGGCTAGATCACGAACTGATAGCCGATTTTGCTGGTCAAGCAAATGGGCAGTCTCTCGAGCAACCACCTCCTTCACTGAGAGTGCCTTAGGATGATCCTTCAACTCCACTATCTGATAATCTGATCCAATTTTATAATTGGAAAATCGGCTCGAATGGAAGATCACATCAGCTGAAACAGGCAGGACTGCGTCCTTTCTCACAGTGACAAAATCTCGGCTCACCCTCGTCATAATCCAAACTATTCTACACAAAAAGAAGAAGACCTCAAATCAAATCAAATCAAACACCACATTTCAGAACTCAACTATATTCCTCTTCCTTTACTGATTTTGAAAATGACTTCTTAACCTCAACTTCTGCCGTGGGTTAGAATTCACCAACTCAAACTAACTAACTACATTTGGCAATCAATCTGAAAAACCCACAAAAATGAACACACAGCACATAACCTAAAGGTGAGAGCTTTACCACCTATCATGCTTAATATGAGGAAAGCTAAACAATTTGACATGTAAATACATACAAGTGAAAGAAATTTTAGATTGGGAAGCTAATTCATACCAATAAAATCTCTGGGTCTAGATTCGTTAGGACCAAAAGAAGAAATTTGAACCCTAGCTACAATGTACTAAGAGAAAAATGAAAATTAATTAATAAGAATAGAGAAAAAAGCTAACAGTACTCACAGAGACAATAATAATGCTATGAAAAGTCGGAAGCAAAGCTGGAGCTGAGGACTTGTGGGGATCCTTTTTTGTGAGTGACAAAAGTGGTGAAATTTAATTTTGGTGGGATCAGTTTGCAGCAGTCTGTGTGTTGAGTGGTGCTCCTGACTTTCAGAGAGAGAAAAAAACAGTGAGGAGAGAGAAAGAAAAACAGCTGGTTATTGTATGTATAACGTAAAAATGGAAAGATGGCCACTTCAATGATGAAGGCAGCCCAGCAACTGGGCATTACTACTAATTAGTCGTGTTAATGAACCAGCAATAATTTCCATACTTTTTTAGTGGTGGACTTTGTGGATCACTATTTTCTCAATCTACTGAAATATAAAGTGTTAATATTGTCCCCACCGAAACTCAAACTTACAACTTCTTATATGAAAAAGCAATTTGGTATCACTAGACCCCAATGTTCTTATCTACGGAATTGATATGCTAGGTTTTAACTAGCTAATTTGGCCACTTAAAAGCATAATGTAATTAAGCATTACTTGGGTTATAGTTAATAGCTTCTTGAAAAAAATAATTATATAAAGTATATTATATCTGATCTCGAGTTTGAATAGTTTGGAAAAAAAAGTGAAGTATCACATAATATGATCTACGTTACACTTTAAAATCAATTTAAGGCGATACGCTTACTAGTCCATAATTGAATAAAATGAAAGCACCACTAATTTAATATGTATTCTAGTATAATGCAAGTGAAGTAGAGTAGAATTATCTATAAAAGGAAGGTGAGTGATGATGAGATTGAATTGAGTTCTTTTTGTGAGATTGTGGTTTCACTACATAATTTTGACATATACAAATAATTTATATGCACTATATACCATTTTTAGATGTAAACAAATAGTCATATGAAGTTATTTTATTTTAACACACACTTTATGTACGAGTACTACCTAAATACAAAATATATAATACTTTTTTCATTTATTTATGATGGAATAATTATAAATAGATCCAGAACAAGATAATATAGAGATGACCAAGTTCGGAACACTGAATCAGACCCGGCCAACCAAGGTAGCCAAGCTCCGCGCTTGGTCACAGAGTTGGCCAAGGCAGACCTTAGCCGAGGTCTGCCAAGACAAACCTTAGCCAAGGTCGACCAAAGCAGAACATTAGCCGATACATAGAATGGATAAGACACATAAACACTTAACATAATACACACAATTCATATTTATAATTCACAAAAAATTCATGTTCATAATACACAGAATTAATGTTTATTATATTATGTTTATGTACATGTGTATTATTAATATAAATTATGTACATTATAAACATGAATTATGTTCATCATGAAATCAAATTCTGTGATTGGACCAGAGTCCACGATATAATTTACCCGCAAGCACACATATTTTTGTATGGACGAAAGGTTGATAAAGCCCAATTATAAACGGGCCTATCAAAACCCAACCCAGTGGGTCCAAAAGCCCATATGAGCTCAATCCATCTTGAATTAAACCCTATAAAAGCCCTCCGTCTAAATGGCAGCTAGGGTTTTTAGGGCAAGTTGAGCTGACGGAACTCTTTGCATCTCTCTACGCACCTTAGCTCCAAACCTCGACCATGGCCGTCGGGTACTTGCACACAAACACACTCTTTCCTTACGTCAATTCAGTTTGTTTCAATATATATATGTATCTATATCCTATATGTATGAAGTTATTGGTTGTGTATTAATCTGTGTGAACTGTGGCTTGGTTGCATTGCAGAAAGAACAAGCGGATTTCCAAGGGGAAGAAAGGAGGAAAGAAGAAAGCGTAAGTTGTCGTCTTGCTTATTTTTGGTTTTGAAGGGATTGATTCCGTTTTGTTGTTGGATTATGATAATATGAGCTCCTTTGGATTATAGTTACAGTGGATTTGATTTTTAGTTGATTGTTGTTTGGATTTGTTGTGGTGTATAGAGCTGATCCCTTCGCCAAGAAGGACTGGTATGACATCAAGGCTCCATCAGTTTTCACTGTAAGAAACATCGGAAAGACACTCGTTACCCGAACTCAGGGAACAAAGGTGAGCTAATACTTGTGATCTTTTATTGTTAATTATTAGTTAATCTGGTCATTTATCTGAGATTACCAGCATGTTTTTCATATAATCCTTGACTAGAATAGTAGAATGGCTTTCTTGTTTATTAAGATGCTTTTTGGTGCTTATGATATTCTTGGGAGTTCTTTTAATTTGCAAACCTGGTTTTGATTTTATAATTATGTTTTTTTTTTATGTTAGAAATCATTTGTAGATTTGTTATATTAGGTTTGTACCTTGTAATCTGTCTGACATTGGAATTCATAATGCAAAGACCAACCTTTTAAATCTGTGCAGTTGAGTTTATGGCATGACTCTTTTGAATTTGTTCTTTTTTACTACTCTATTGAGTTTTTGTTCATTTGGAATTCTCAACCACTCAATGATTATTTTGGATTTTTTGGTTAGGTATTGTTCATCCTTACCAAAACTTTGGTTTCCTCTTGTTTCTCTTTCAAAACTACTGTTTTTTTAATGACCTTTATTATCTTTCAAATTAGATTGCTTCAGAAGGTCTCAAGCATCGTGTGTTTGAGGTGTCATTGGCTGACCTCCAAGGTGATGAGGACCATGCTTTCAGAAAGATTCGTCTCAGGGCTGAGGATGTTCAGGGAAGAAATGTCCTTACAAACTTTTGGGTATGATGTGTGCATTAATTTTTTTTGTTACCTTTATTTTCCCTACAATTTCTACTTCTGTTTTTGACTGGTCATTCCTCTGCAACAATGACAGGGAATGAACTTCACTACAGATAAATTGAGGTCATTGGTGAAGAAGTGGCAATCACTGATTGAGGCACATGTTGATGTTAAAACAACAGACAGCTATACCTTGAGAATGTTTTGCATTGGCTTCACTAAGAAGAGAGTAAACCAGCAAAAGAGAACCTGCTATGCACAATCTAGCCAGATTCGTCAGGTAAGTTTGTATTGTACAAATGCCATTTTGAGTCTATATTATGTTATTAGTTAGTCTGCTCTGTTTCAATTTCAGGAAATATTCTCTCGTGCAGATTTTATTCATTGGTACTCCGTTTTAGTTCACTCATTACTTGAGCTGTCCTTTTTATTGACTAGATTCGCCGCAAGATGCGGGAGATTATGGTTAACCATGCTCAGTCATGTGACCTCAAGGACTTGGTTCAGAAGTTCATTCCTGAGTCAATTGGCCGTGATATTGAGAAGGCCACCTCAAGCATCTACCCTTTACAAAATGTGTTCATTCGCAAGGTCAAGATCCTAAAGGCTCCCAAGTTTGATCTTGGCAAGTTAATGGAGGTGTGTATTGTAGATTTCTAGTCTAATATAGTTATAACATGCATTCACACAAGTGTAATTTGAAATCATTCCATTTGAATACTGCTAAGCTATTCCATAATTTGTTTGTGTAGGTTCACGGTGACTACACTGAAGATGTTGGCACAAAGCTGGACAGGCCTGCAGATGAGCCCGTGGCTGAGGCAACTGAACCTGTTGTTGGAGCTTGATTGTGAATTTTGTGTCTTGTGCGTTTCTTGCCTATTTATATGCTTTAATGGACCTTAGATCTTTGGCGGCTTAGGAAGAGTTTTGACAGGCATATCTTGATACTGAACCATTTGAACTTGATGATGAACCAGTTTATATTTCACTGATGCTTTTATTTCTTATAATCATATGGCATGAAAAAGGGTCATTCCAAACAGATGGTAGAAATCACATTATTAAAAACAAGAATACGAAGTAAAAGGTGAAAGACAAGAATACTTAGTATCCCACCATTTCCCCCTACCATAGTGTTTTGAAATTTATGGTATGGAAAGACAATATGGTTCAACTGTAACATTTCCAAAATGTGTTTCTGTTACATGTTTTTGGTATCTGTTCAGAAAGAATTGGAATCATTTCTTCTTGGAACAGCTCTCATAAACCAGGACTGAGTTGCTATTCCTTTATATGCATGCCATCATCTTCGGTTTTCCATACGACATCTTCCAGGCAAGTCGACAGACTTCTGTAGAACTGCAGACCAAACATACACCACATTGAATGGGGGAAAGTTGAGTGGTAAATGAGAAAAGGTGGTAGAACATAGGAATGAGTCCTAACACTGGTTTTCACTTAATAGGTTGCTAAGTCGCTGTGATTTACTCTTCTATAATCATGTCGGCCAAGGGTGTAAGGGCCCTTCGGGTGAGGGATTTTACGTTTTGTGACCAATGTGCCACATCAAACAATCATGAGGCTATAATAGTAACCAAAATATTGGACTTAAATGGTTGCATACCTTATGGAATTCCAACGTGTCTCCTTTGGCCTTTCGCACCTCAACCAGATGAAGACAAGGGGCAACTTGGAATACCTGATTCAAGAATCGTAGTTCAGACACGAAAGCTTGTATAGTTTTCAGTTAAAACAGACGATAAAGGCATTCTCTCATTTGCATACCTCAGTTGCCACGTTAAGATTTCCTTTTCTTCCTGCTTTTATGTTTTCCAACTGCATCTGAAGACAAAAACGAAGCAAGAACTGACTTAACTATCTGTGGCATTACCATATTGTTCTTTGTTTCAACAGGCGCATTATACTGCATATGAAGTAAGATTCTCTATGCATGTATTGTAAAATCACCTTGTAATTCTTTTTGCGAACATCAAAGCCTAGGGGCTTTACAGCTTCTTCAATCTTGCTGATAATCTTGTTGGCTGAGCATTTAGAAGCAAACCGCGTCTCCCTCTTGAACCCCTATCAAGAGTAAGATATGATGCCTATTTACTCTATCATAATTTTCATCCTCCTCTTAAAATACTTCAATTTACAGTGCTCTGGTTAAAGCTCACCTTGTGACCCTAACCAACAAAGGACCACAAGGAGGTAAACCAGCCTAGGTTGCCTATGCCTGACTGACTCAAACCAATAAGGCCAAATGACCAATAGACAGCAACCAGCTTGGTTGGCATGACTATGCACTCTCATCCCTTAAGAGAGGTCGGGAGTTCGAACATCCTCTCGTATGGAAAAACCAATTTGGCCAGTACTTTGCCCCTTAATTGGGCCGATCCAGCGCGAATGAGGATTAATCTGAGTATGGTACGAGCTTAAAGGTGCCTCCTACAGTAGGGCTTGCTGGCATTTAGGAATTAGGATAGATGCATAAAGATGAAAGTACCTGTTCATCAAAGAGATTCCCAAGGTCGAGTCCTTTTGCCAGAGAAATTAACCCAAATGCATTCATGGGAGTTGGATGTTCTTCTCTTCTCCCTGTCACACGACGCTCCTGTATAATATGAAAAAGAATGCACCCAATGAGCTAAATCTTATTTCTCCAAGCTCCATCTTGAAATGATCCAAACATATTATGTTTGGCAAACTCACTTCAGAGTGCTGAAAAACAGCTTCCACGTCGTCCAGATTCGCGTCTTCCATCTCATTGAAAATAGGCGGTTTATAACCTTCCTTAAACCACTCGTCCTCTAAAATCTCCGGGATGGTAATGCGCTGCAAAGTATAAACAAAAGCAAATGAAGAGTGATGCGAGTTTTGCAAGTCAGCCCTTTCGGGTGAAAACCTGTTAGCAAACAACAGGAAAAATCGCAAACTTTCACCAGCATTGTCTGCTGTGGCTTCTCTTAAGAGGTTTGATGTCTTACAAAAGTACATAGAAACTTCAGAACTTCCCACAAAAGTAAACAGGTTTGTATTCACTTACTGTCTCGGGGTTTGGATCCAAAATTCGAGTGATTAACTTCATTGCACCGAAAGAGATCCAAGGTGGAGAAGTAAATTCAGCAGAAGATATCTGCAAGCAGTGTAATAGGATTAGATTTTGTGAAATCTAACAAAGATAAAGGCGAAAAGGTTAACTCTTCAATGAAATTGTGAAAAAACGTCTTACTTTTCTGAATAGGTTTGCGAGATTATTGTCATCAAAAGGGAAGTAGCCTGCAAGCATTACAAAGAGGATGACTCCACATGACCACAGATCTGCAGTAGACCCATTGTAGCCTCGATCGTTAAGAACCTACAAAAGGAATCTCGTTCTTCAGGACCAAACATTGGAAACAAGTTTAAAAGAAGCCTTATACAAAATTACAATCTGATGTTTAAACCTCGGGTGCAACATAGTTTGGAGTTCCACATGTCGTGTGAAGTAAGCCGTCATCCTGCCAATCGAAACAGTTTGAGTAATAGATCGAATATGGCACGGGTTAGAAAGACAATGATCTGATAGTTACCCTGATTTGCTTTGAATAAGTACTCAATCCAAAGTCTGAAACTTTGAGGTTCCCGGAAGCATCCAAAAGTAAATTCTCCAGCTGCCCATCATTAACCGAGTGAATCGAAAGGTTTATAAACCACTTAGTTCTTACATTTAGTGAGGCAAAAATTATGTCATAATCTACCTTCAGATCTCGGTGATAAACTCCTCTGCTATGGCAATAATCAACCGCATTTATAAGCTGTTGGAAATACTTCCTTGCCTCGTCCTCCCTCATTCGTCCATCATTTATCTTCACAATTCAGAAAACGAGAGTAAGCGCAGTTTGAAACCAGACAATCACGAAATCAACAATTGCATTTAGCGGGAGGATGCAATTAAGTTCTAGAAAGACATGAAGTTTGCAGTGAAAAATAGATCAAAACTGAACGAGAATGGATGGCAAAATAAGCAAACTGTGCTTCGTTTTCACTTTTTGAACCACAAGAACCACACAAAAAGGGAAGAATCGGGCGTACAATTTTGTTGAGCAGCTCTCCACCGGTAACGAATTCCAAAACAAGGAATATTTTTGTCTTACTCCCCATTACCTGAAGGCAGAAAACAATAAAAGCATCAATAAAACTATGGGAACAGTTTCTAATACTACCACAGATTATCCTTCACGCAGATGTTTGGCATTCTTTGAAATCTTGTCAAACCAAGTTGGATTTGGAGAGCAAGAGATATAGAGATAGAGAGAGAGAGAGAGGGAACAACCTCGTACAAGCAAACAACATTTGGGTGCCTTATCAACTTCATGGTAGCTATTTCTCGTTTGGTCTGTCAAACAAATGGCACTCATAAGAGAATTTCACTTATAGAAAGAGCTATGTGCTGACATAATTTATCGTACAAGAAGCTCCCGAGATTTTAAGAGCCAGAAAACATCTGTGCATATTCAAGCTCCTCATCATAAAATCGAGATAATAATATTCAATTGACAGATGTATACAACAGAGAAACTATTGGTCCATTAAAGAACAAACAGCTAGCTTGGAAACTAACTTACCTGTTCCACCATTTTATCCTTAAGAACCTTATTTTTGTCGAGAATCTTGAGAGCAACATGCTCTCCTGTCTCTGAATTCCTCGCTAACTTAACTTTGGCAAACGATCCTTTGCCTATCGTCCTTTCCACCTCGTATTTACCAACTCTACGATTGATTTTCGACTGACTCATGATCAAGAACCTAGTGCAGCCTTCTTCAAATTGCAGCCCTACACTTCATAGTTCATATTCACCACAGAGTAAGCTTTCAGGATTTCATGGAGAAATTACAGAAACATAATCTTATACTTCTAAGTTCTAAGCATCAATACAACATTTTTCAGACTTCCCATTTCCTATTTTTTGTTATTAGATGAAGGCAGAGATTTTTGTTTTTAAATTTTATTTTTATCTTTTAGGGGGCGTTTGGTTCAGGTTATATAACATAACCAAGGGAATGTGACATTCCAAAGCTCACATTCCTATGTTTGGTTCACATTATCTCAGGAAATCTAACATTCCCTAGGAATGTCACATTCCCTCCACATAGGATTTTCAAGGGAATGTGATTCCCTTCAAAATCTTAGGTAATGTAAGATAACCTTAGTTATGTTAGTTTATTATTATTATTATTATTATTATTATTTATATATATATATATATATATATAAAATTATTTTTGTAATTATATATATTTTTATTTTTATTATGTTATGTTAGCATATAAAATAATTTTGTTTCTCAAGTTCAAGATTTTAGTTAATATTTTAAAATCATGTAATTATATATGATACCGTTATCTTATTTATTTATTTTAATTTTTAAATTTATTAAAATATATGAAAATATGTTAAGGATATTATAGTGTGTATAAAAGATAACCCTAAACCAAACATGATTATATTACATACCCCAATTTTAACCAAACACAGGAATCTAACATTCCCAGTAATCTAACATTCCCAGCAATCTAACATTCCCTAAGGTAATCTGACATTCCGTGAACCAAACGACCCCTTAGGGTTTGAGAATGTGATTAAGATTCAGAGATAATTCAAGGCTAACAGAGCAAATTCAGCTTCCCAGACTGTTAAACAAATCAAAACTTCAAAACAAAGGGCAACAAATAGAGAAAATCCCCATATCTCTCATCCCAATTTCTAAATGAAATTTCAATAGGGTTCAGAGATTGCAAAAATGCAGTGTTTTGATAAAATTTGAGATAAAGAGATTCCAAGAGGTACAGATTTCCAAAGTTGAGCAGAATATATCAACTCAAGAATCATGAATCATTATATGACTTACCAAAAATGTTGAAAAGATGTGAATGATTGTATAGATATAGAGAGAGAGAGAGAGAGAGAGAGAGAGAGAGAGACAGAGAGAAGTTTTGCTGAAGCTGAACCTCAAAGGAGCTTGGCTAGATATAGGCTAATGGTGATGATGATGATCAGTACAAAATGCTGGCAGTATTTGGAAGCCTTTCTATGGTCCAAGAAAAATATATTCATTCCCTCCTATTTTATCTGTCTTACTTTCCTTTTTCATCCGTCCCAAAATATTGTCCAATTTTCAAAAATAAATTTAAAAAATTTCCCAAAACAATTTTTTTTTTTTAATCTAGGTTTCCAAACTTCGCCTGATGAAGAGGTAAACTAGTTCCGAAACTCAACACAGAATTATACATTTCTGCACACAAAAAGTCCAATTTCAAACCCCGCCCTACCGCTAGACGCAACTCACAAAAAGTAAAATTTTTATATACTAGAACAATGCCTACGGTAGTATTACGGTAATAATTTGTTTTACGATTAGTTTTGATTGAAAAGAAAACGGGAAAAAGAGCAATGAATGCGAGCCAAACACAATATTTTTTTATATATAATTTTGAAATTGAGTTGAGTTTTGTACATACATGATCATAATTTGTGTGAATCTCTAATAGTATATAATTGACAAAATTGTTTTAATGTATCGGTTGATATCGTTACTCTGTAAATCGAAATGCTATGTTCGATCTTATGACATCCTATATGGAAAATGTCACTATCTGTCATTTGAACACAAGGTACTTTGTAAATATAACAATATATAATATGTATGGTTATCTAAAATCTAAAATATTATAAAAGAAGTATTAAAAGTATCTTATATAATTGATATGGTATATATAATTGATAATGATAGACGAGTAAAAATTCTCCATAATTGATGAAAGACAAAGGTAGGCACACATATGCGGTACGGTGGAAGCTTCGTCTGTCCTTGTTGTGTCAAAACCGTGTACGAATATGTGGTTGCGGATTATTTCACTTAAAGCCCTAAGGTTTGTAATCCTTTCAAATCCATCCGTATTATTATTAAAAATTGTAGAAAGACCCACCCAATGATTGTTACTCAAAACTTGCACCCTTAGGGGTGAAAACGAGCCGAACCGAGATTGGCTCGAGTGCTCGAACTCGAGCTCGAGCTAAAGATCGATTCGACATGACTTGAATTAGCTCGAGTTTGAACTTCATGTTTCAATTAATAAAAATTGTAGCACCTAAGCCTCTATCAACTTAGCATCTCACAAAAATTGTTGATATTAGTTCACGTTTGCAATAATCGATAAATTTTGAGTTAATTTCTTTTTTGGTCTTAGATTTTTAGGTGACAGTTCACTTTTAGTCCTTTTTATAAGAACATTCACATTTAGTCAGAGTATTATAGTGGTATGACCATTTTTTGTCCTTCGTCAACAAAATGATTGAAATATCATGCCACAATAATACTAGGACTAAAGTGATCTGTTATTTATAAATCTAGGACCAAAAATGAAATTAACTCATAAATTTTTATTAAATGTTATTCGATGATATAACATGTGATATATGTGTAGAAAATGTTATATTTTCTTCATTTATTTGTCTCGTAATATTTACTTTCTACATTACAATAAAATTAGCTACCATTGACTAATTGAATCTAAAGAGGTAGAATATGATTTCGCATTAGAATGTCATTAGTTCAATTCTTGTTGGCACATTCTTGTTAATATACAAAATTATATCAATATTGTTTTAAATTTTAATATTAAAAAAAACCACTACTTTTTTTAAAGAGTGAAATTTATAAAATGCTTTGAGTGCATACATTTTTAAATTTTGGTAATATGTTAGTTATTTTAAAAGTGCACAGTACACTATTAATTAAAAACCTATAAATACTAAAAACAATAAATTGCTTAAATAAATATTTTCTTCCAACAAGACAAAACATATACAAATATGTTATTTTTTAGTCTACCAGGACTATGTGGTCTAATGGTATCCGGGTTGGACTTGCATTTGGAAGGTTGTAAGTTCGAGCCTCAGTGGAGGCGTTATTGGCTCTTTTGTTTCAGTAGGTTGAGAAAGTATATGAACAGATACTACAATGTAATAGAGCTAGTAGCATTCAAAAAAAAAATGTTATTTTTTAGTCTAATACTATTATAAAATACATTTTTACTACAAATTTACATGAGATCCTCTCACGCAAGATTTATTCGTTACATGAATAAGTATGTAAATTTACAAAAATTAAAGATGCAATTGCTATACTATGGACCAAGGTCCATCTTATAATATCATGGACTTTGGTACAAAAATTATGTATATGCAATTGATTTATTATGTACATATCATTTCTTATTTATATGCCCGTAAATAAATAGACACATAACGTGCATGTTAGCTAAGAACAAATGAAATGGTAACTACAAACACATAAACGGTTAGTTGTAGAAACAAAACAATAAATTAACTATTAAATAATATATTATGTGTCTATAATTAATCGTTTATGTGTATGTAATTAATATGTTTATTTATAGCACATAAAGTATTATTATTACATGTACAAACTATGTCAAGTAAAAATGAGCTTTTGAAAATTTCACTACAACAGAAATTCAAGTAGATGAACCAAAAAAATGATGTCAAATTGTCCAAGCTTATATGTATTACTAGTTTTTCTACGCGCTTTGCGCGAATAGGATAATGCCCAATACTTACTTTTAAATAAGTATTTCAAAGTATATCAATGTAATATTATATAGAAGATGTTCATGCATAGGTAAATAAATGTTGAATTTGTTTATTTAAATCGGTAATTTAAAATATATAAATGCAAGATAATATATGAGAGATTGATTATATATAACTGTCACAAAAATAAACGTTTGCAACTTTGTAATAACGTTAATCTAAGTACTAAGTCTAAAAGCTAGTCTAAATAAATACTATTTTTGGTTTAAATGTTTCTAATTCTCTTTTAGGTAGCATTGTTATTGTTTTCATTTTCAGTACATGTCTTCTTCTTTTTCTTTCTTTTTTTTTTTTTTTTTTATTTTATTGGTAGTGTGTCATAGAGGGATTCATCATGCAATGAGATTATGGTGTATGAAGTTTTAAATTTGTCTGTCGTGTATATGACTGAGATCTTAGTTGTGCTATGAACTCTTTATCTTACAAGCACATGTTGATATTTGGTAGTGGTAGTTTTCCCTACATGGTTCATGTGTTGTGAGACATCTAATTCAAAATTAATTAAATGCATATATATTATTTTTTGTTGTAGCTACCAATTTATTTTTTAATTTAAGTAATAAGAGCAATAAAGTGGGAAAATTATGATGTAGAACCGTGTCCACACACGGTTCCAAAATTGTTCATAATTATGAATATATAGTTCAAAAATTATGAACATAAAGTTGTGAACATAATTATGAACATATAGTTCTGTAATTATGAATATAGAGATTCAATAATTGTGAATATGAAGTTAAAAAGTTATGAATATATAGCTTTATAATTATGAACATATAGTTCAATAATTATGAACATAGAGTTCTGTAATTGTGAATATAGAGTTCAATAATTATGAATATGAAGTTAAAAAATTATGAATATATAGCTTTATAATTATGAACATATAGTTCAGTAATTATGAACATAGAACTGTGTCCACATTGCAAGGTGGACACAGTTCCACGGCATAACGATTGAATAAAGTGGCGTACATACTTTTCATTCACAATAATGAAATCATTGATTTTTTTTTTAAATTTCCATTCGTTGTTGACACAAATTGTTTTGATAGTTTGTCAATGACAATTGCTGTCAATAGATGATGATAATAAATAATTCAAAATATAAGGTTACAATAGATATTGTTATAATAATATAGTAAAAATTAACTTACAAATTTCTTTAGAAGTTTTCATGCACTGATAAAAGCATAATTGAAATATTAAGTTTTGTTTTCAATAATCAAAAGAAGATTAATTAAACGAAAAAAAAAAAAAAAACTGGACTTAAATTTATTATTTTTTTAATGAAAGAAAATCAAATGATTATCAAAGTTCCTGATTTATAATCATTGAATGCTATGTATTTAGTCGAGCTAATTATTTGACCAAAGTTTATGTTAAATTTTATATTTTATTTTTAATACATTTTAACATATTCGTAGTATATGTTTAACAATTATGCTAACTCTAATTGGAATGAGGTTCGAACCTAAGACCTTTCTTATAGAAATTAATGAGTAAGTTAAGAATAATAAATAGTTAACGGAATATTCTGTTAATAAAGTTTATACTAACGGAATTTAAAGTTATTTAAGGAAAGAAAATAATATAATAAAGGGTAAATAAGGAAAATCATTAAAAATACTAAAATCAAAATACTATGAATCATTCATTTTAAGAAACAAGTAGTACCGACATTTTTTTTATTCCAGTTAAGGGCCTAACATTATTGGCTCTTATTATAATTGTAGATTTATATTTTATTTTTTAATACATTTTAACATATTCGTAGTATATGTTTAACAATTATGCTAACTCTAATTGGAATGAGGTTCGAACCTAAGACCTTTCTTATAGAAATTAATGAGTAAGTTAAGAATAATAAATAGTTAACGGAATATTCTGTTAATAAAGTTTATACTAACGGAATTTAAAGTTATTTAAGGAAAGAAAATAATATAATAAAGGGTAAATAAGGAAAATCATTAAAAATACTAAAATCAAAATACTATGAATCATTCATTTTAAGAAACAAGTAGTACCGACATTTTTTTTATTCCAGTTAAGGGCCTAACATTATTGGCTCTTATTATAATTGTAGATAGATTATAATTGTAGATTATTACTCAGCACTTACATGCATGCATACCCCTATCTTGACTGGATATGTTTTAAGCGGCCGCCGGCGCCACCTCAGGCGGCTCTCCTCCGCCGTGAATTTCATCACCATCAGCTTACTCCGACGGCGGCGGCTTGTTGAGATCAAAAGCGGCCGGTACTTTCTTGCAATGGGCATCCTCATCAGCTCTGTGGCGGCGCTGAGAACTCTTCTCGCCGCCGTCTTCATCCGCCTC